GCTTATGTTTTTTTTATTACATTTACAAAAATAATATTCGGATATTTCTAAAAAAATTTGGTTTGTCTAAAACATGATAATTAACATACATAACTATAAATGGGAGAAAACTTAAAATAGATAAAAGCAAAAATAATAAAAGTAAACGATATAGTGAAATACATGTAATTAGATTTATAATAATTAAAGAAAAAAGTAATATGCTATTGAATTACATGAAAACATTGTTCATAAAATTAAAAACAAAGAAACTTATATATAACAATTAATGGTTAATATTAAAAAAGTTATGGTTTAAGGGGTCAAAAGAGTAGTTTTCATATTCGGCAATGGGGTCAATTTATAAGAATTTAATCAAATATCTATGTATTTGTTTAAATATACCATAGTATTAGTTTGATTTTGAAAATTCACCGGGGTCAGTTGACCCCCATGTTTCTATGCTACCTCCGCCACTGCTTAATTATTGGACCACTTGATATTATTTTTTAATAAGAAATATTAACTAAACACTTTCAATTGATTTTGTAATAACTATAAAATTAAATGATACAAAGAAACTGTATAATAAGCACAAGATTTATAACGTCTGTGTGAGCCATGACGAAAGGAGCAAAATTTGGATTAAACACCACGTAATTGATTTTTGCAATTATAAAATTAAATGAGAAAAAGAAACACTCCGATAAACACAAACTTAATAATGCCTATAAGAGCCATGATGAGATTGAGGCGTATGAGGGGAAGAAAATTGGGACTAAACACCACGTATGAGAGGAGCAAAATTGGGACTAAACACCACGTATGTGGATGTTTGAACATGTAACGTATGGGTCATTTATGCTAATTGAAAGTTAAAAGTCAATTTTATTTTAATCACTTCATATTATTACCTTAATTTGGTAAGAATACGGATTCCCTGGTTTTGAGTAGCTACAACATGGTCCAGAAGCTTGACTACAAGAACTATGTTTATATATAACGGAGGGCAATTCCTGATCAGCGATATTCTGATCACCAGCAATTAATTCCTGCATGCACGTACCCATGTTGAACATAAAAAATAATACCTCTTGAAAAGAATGAAGAAATTAAAAACTTTTTTTTTCTTAAATATTTGGAAGTTCTAGTTCAAAGTTTTACGTCTTCCAGAGGCAGATCTACACCAAGTTAAATTGATCTCTTTCGGAGAAGAGATCTCTTCTAATAGGCATTGAATCCAACACCTCGACCTGGGAAATTTATCACTGGACAACACCACGTTAGTGAAAAAAAAAAGAAGTTTAATTGGCAGACTATATATCAAATAGAAACCCACGAGCTTTCTTATCCTTTTGTGAGTGAAGAACAAATTAAAGAAGAATGAATGGACAAGGTAATCTAGTAATCTACAATATAATCATATATGCGACTTGCGAGCTTGAGTAACAAAAGAAGAGTGAATGGATAAGTTAATCGACGTAACAATCATATTTTAGATTATTTAACAAAACATAATCTTATATTATATAAAACTAAAACGAGCTCTCTCTATCTATAGTTTCACCTTATCTCTAATGTTTTCTAAAATTGAAAATATAGTTCACTAATGCAGCATAAAAAAAACAATTTTAAAAAATTCATTTTAATATAGAAGCTATATCAATTTAATTTCGTTGTTGAGAATTATCTATAAATCATTTGAATAAAGGAAAGTGTTCACGGAATTTCATTGGAAACAGATCAAACAGAGAAAAAACGACAACATTTTATAAAACAAAAGATTTTTTTTTTTTTCTAAATAAAACTATTAAATTAATTAGGCTCAATATAAAATACAACTATTGGTATTTGTATATGTGACACTTGAGTTTGTTTATCTGTTTTTTTTTATGGTGAAAGTGAGATTAATTAGCTTAATTTAGTATGCGTAGTTGCGTACCATGTAGAAGTAGAAACGGTAAACGAACAGAAAGGCCAAGACGACTTTTTAGGAGTGGCTTTGGTACTTCTCAGCCTATTAGTCTAACGAGGAACTATATATATATATCATTTATTGTTTCTTTCAAATATCGCTTTTGATGGTCTTAAACTACGTTTTGATTATGGATAACTATGACATCAAATCATTGCTAAGATTGCATGTTCACAATCACTTTGCTAATCCCCAGTTTTTTATTGAACATAATATACGAACACCATTCATTAAGATAGTATCTTTTATATACAATTAAGTGAAAAACAGTTCTATGAACTAACCTCAAATTTGTTAAAAAATTTCCAAATTAAACATGACATGATGATGTTTTGCGATGAGCATGCTTCTCAGATATTTGGGCATACAATTTTTAGAATGGATGCAATTGTAAGAACTAGATATTCACCCTCAAAGTGTAAACATTAATGCATATGATTAACTATGTGATTAATACACATCACATTAATGCATGCAGTATTACTAATCATGATGTTACAAAATATT